GGAATAAAATATTGATCATTGAGGAGAGGGTGAACAAGATGACTGTACAAGATGAATACCCATCATGGGTGAAGGATGAAAAGCGCCAACGACTCTCAATTTGGCAGAGGATTTCAAAGATTAGCAACTAGGGTTGTGAAACATCGGATCGTGAAGAAAATGAGGTTTGTAAAAAGTTTCAAGAGACGCCCTAGAATCGGTGCTCTGATACCATGTGAAATTAGAGATTGTGTTGAGAAGAATAATTCTAGGGTATTATTGATAGAGCCAAAAGGCTAAGTATTTATAGAGATATTACAAGCTTAACTAGGAAAACTAGGTTACTTGGAGACTACTCCAAATCAATTACAATCAACTAATAAAAGGAAACTAAATAACAATTAAATAACGTTCCTAATTTCCAACAACGTAGGCTGGTTATGGTTTCTCTGGGACTCTGAGTAGCAGTGATAATGGATTCTCCAATGAGTTTCTTGGAGTGATGTGGGCTAGGGTTTTGTGATTTCTGTGTGAATGAGTTCCTTCCTTCCCTTCCAATATATATAGGACTATTAGCAGGTCCAGTCCTGGCCCAGGTCGAATAGGGCAACGGCAATTAAAAAAAAGACGAATAATCCGTCAATAAATGACGAACCCATATAATGGCTGTACATAAATTTACTTTTTTTTTAACCTTTTGTGGATAAAATCCCGAATAATCCGTCTCCCACTTTTCATGGCTGTCAGGCTTTGATAATTATCAGCTATTTGTAATATGATAAGGTTATAACTATACTTTCGGGTTAAGTCGTAACAACTTTGTAAGTTACTTGTGCCCCAAGCATTTTCATTCAGACAGAAACTTGAAGTAGTTTCTTTATGTATGATGTTCTATATATTCTCACTCCCAAATCGAATCCTATTTTCTCACCACCAAACTTTTTAAGAACACTCCCTCTATCATTCCATGATTGCCCTTTCCCCTTCTTCTTCTTCTTCCACGTCAATCCTAAAAATAAAACCAAAGGACTGAACAGAACAGAGTAAATCCAGTCCCCTTCTATTGATTCTTGTGGACAGAACAGAAGGCTTGTCTTCAGATTGATTCGGGTTCGGGGACATGGAATTTCGTAGCATTCGGAGACACTAAATGGTCATTTGTGATAGATTTGGCAGTCTTCAACTATCAATTTGTCAATAAATTCAATCCTAATGATAACTGACAGACACTGCTTCTTGTTATGAAAACAACAAATGTCTTAACAAAGGTAACTTTCTCTGGATGAACCTGTCGAGGCTTGGATCTATTTAATATTATTATTTTAACAGTATCTTTCTCTGGATGAACCTATAACTTATTACTAGTCCACATACTCAACGACTTTGTCCACCATTTGAAAATGATTTTGAAAAAAGTATTGAGTTTGGACCTTCACTCTCAGTTCTAGTGTAGTAGTATCGCAACATTCTAAATGAGTTATATTGCTCACACATATCACATATCAACATTCTAAATGAGTTATATTGGACAAAGCCATGACAATTGTTTCAGTTTTCAGATTTCTAAGCATTGCAAACATTAGCATTAGCTTATGCAATGGAAATTTGGGTGTCCCTTGTAAACAAAATGAGAGACAATCAATTCTAATGTTCAAGAGAGATCTTAAGGATCCTTCAAATAGGCTTTTATCTTGGGTTGGCGAGGGAGATTGTTGCAATTGGACTGGAGCTGTCTGCGACAATTTAATAGTAATGGATAATGCTTTAAACTACCCTTATCAATAAACAAAAATCAGGGACAATAGATACTTGGATAATGAAAATTTTGTAAAAAAACAAGTGTATTAAACATGAAAAATACTTACGTACGTGTATAATACGAGTATTAAATGTGAAAATGCTAAATTCTTTATATGGGTAATAGCTCTGGAAAAGCAAAAACTGACAATAAAGACTCGGATAATGGCCTAATAATAATGGATAATGCTATAAACTACCCTTATTGATAAACAAAAATCGGGAAAAATAAATTTTTTTAAAAGATGACAGTGTCTTGTGTAACGTGTATAGCCGCTTGGCCATAATCTTTTTTTTAAAAAATATCTCGAGTATAGCCGCGCGGCTATACTATTTTTTTTTAAAAGGGCCTGCTTGGCACTAGCTCGTCAAAAACAGTATGCTGCGTGGCTATACTATATAGCCGCGCGGCTTATGTTTTTAAAAACCTCCGGCCTAGCGCTGCTTGTGTCAAAATAGTATAGCCGCGCGGCTATGCTACTTTTATAATAAAAAACGTTAGTATAGCCGGTCGGCGGTACGCTTTTTATAAAAAAAAATACCACGAGTATAGCCGCTCGGCAAGGCTTCTGGCTTTTAAAAAAACAAAATATCCCGCGTATAGCCGCGTGGCTATACGTTTATAATTAAAAACCATAGTTTAGCCGGTCGGCTATACTCTCTTAAAAATAATAATAATACGTATCGCCGCGCGGCTATACTATTTTTTTAAAACCCCGAGTATAGCCGAGCGGCTGTACAATTTAGGCACCCAGTATAGCCGCGCTATACTGTTTTTAAAACACCGGGTATCGCCGAGCGGCTATACTATTTATAAAGAAAAAGGAACTTTTAAAACCCCAGGTACAGCCGCTCGGCTATACTATTTTTTCCTATACTATTTATAAATAAAGAAGGACTTTTAAAACCCCGCGTATAGCCGCTCGGCTATACTATTTATATAAAAAAAAGTACAACCGCCTGGCTCCTAGCGCCTGCTTCGCCGAGTATAGCCGCGGCTATACTAATTTTATTTGGAAAAAACCCCGAGTATAGCCGCGCGGCCATACGCTTTTTTTTTTTTTTTTTGGGTTAAAAAAAGGAAAATCTTTTCAAGCTCTAGTTTACTTCCAATGTATGCAAAATTGATGAGCTGGATTTTTCTATTTTGTTTTTACTTTTGATATGATGTTTTTTTTTTTCCTTCATTGAACTAATATGCTGTCTGGTTGACAAACTTTCCATTTCTTTTTCTTGCTTCAAGGATACTTGAATCTTGGGTATTCAACACCGCTCCTTTCATTGGGGGCATCTTATATGCATTCGTCGGTGGCTGCTGCCAAGTCTGCAGTAATTTCTGCGGGTGAAGAGATAGAAAGTCTTGGACTGCCATCAGAAATCTGCCCTCTGGTCTTTGTCATCACAGGTTCAGGAAACGGTACATTCTAATATGGCTGTCTCACTTGTTTTACCAATTCGATTACATATTTATTCTGAAAATGTTTTTCAAGTCCTTATGCAGCACAAGTTTTAGTAAGTGATTTTTTTATCATAAATGACTGTAACTTCTACTATCAAGAATCAAGATTGATCTGATATAATATAACTTTCATTCTGGTAGCTTCTTCTGGTGCACAAGAGATAGTTAAGCTTCTTCCACATACTTTTGTGGATTCAAGCAGACTTTCGGAGCTATTCAGGATGGTAAATATTAAACTCCTGCACAAATGTTTCATGTAACAATGGAGCTTTAGGTAGTTTTGCATATATAATCTCATGTTTGATTTTCAAAAGGCATTTCGAGTTCATGATCGCCTTCTTCCACTAACTTGAAGAAATATGTGTCATGCCTTGTTGGTGTTAGTTTCATCATTCTTCAATCTGATTAGGCCAAGGATGTCGCTCAACCTACACTCACATCAAAAAGGGTCTTCCAAGTATATGGCTGTGTTGTGACTAGTGAAGACATGGTTGAACACGAAGACTCCACAACACCATTTGACAAAGTGAGTTCCCTCAAAGCTCTTTTTGTGCATGTTTGTTACATGATTTTACTCAAAAGCATTCTAATCGATTTCAGGCTGACTATTATGCACATCCAGAAAACTACAGCCCTGTTTTCCATGAAAAAATTGCCCCTTATGCATTTGTAATTGGTATGTTTTACACTCTGCTATCAAACCTATTTAGATTTTTCCCATGAAAACTAGAACCCTATTTTAAGCTTCTGTTTTCTCCCCCTCTGGCAGTGAATTGCATGTATTGGGAGAAACAATTTCCTAGATTATTGAGTACCAAGCAGCTTCAAGATTTAACAAGGAAAGGCTGTGGGCTTGTTTGAATCTCTGATTTCACTTGTGATATTTGGGGATCAAAAGAAATTGTAAACCAAACCACCTCAATTGACTCACCTTTCTTCAGGTAACAATATCCAATACATTCATTTATTGTTCAAAGCGACACAGTTTTCTGTTTTTACAATACTTGACCAGAAACAAGACATGTTCATCTAATTTAATAAAGAAGGCTTGAAAGACCAGTTTGGTTCCAAATTCCAAAACCAATCAAAATCCTATCCACTATAGTAGCGGTCTTACCAGACACAACTAGAGAGAAACAGAGGTGGAAAGACTGAAAAGAGCTCCAAAATCAAGTATGCAACTTAGAAACAAAAACTTCGTTGGCGTGGCTGGAGCGGCTTTTCAACATCATGAAATCGTTCCCTCTGGACTGGAAAATGTCGCTGGAGCATCTATGCATCCGCTCATTGGCTTTTCTGCAGCACTTTTCTTGATTGAGCAAACTATAACTTGTTTGCTTTAGCAACGTCTTAATTCGCAAAGTGATCAAATCAACTCCACATGCGCCTCTTAATTGAGATGCAACCATCCTGATCCTAGCACAATTCGCAAATCTGCTGCTCCTGCACAAATGTTTTGCAGGTGCATTAAGAAACTGAAGTAGTTTGTACAATTTGAGGCAAAGATATATACCTTGGAGATGAACAAGTCTTGTATGGATCTCATGACACACTGACTCTGTCCAAGTTAATTACAGCAACCGAAGCTACCAACTGCATCATTTCTTCTTCTCATATAAATTATAATTAAGCTGGATATATAAAATTAAAGAAAATAAGTAAATATGAAGATGGTAGCAATTAAAGAATTACAAGGAAGGTGTTCAAAGTTACCATTTTAGCCCAAGGGGTGGATCAGATACTGATAGGCAGGCAGAGCCCATCATCAATCCTCCTCCTCCGTTGAAACTCCTCCGTCCTCCTCCATTGAAACTCCTCCGTCCTTTTTCACAAACCTGCCACCAATATCGATGTTTTGGACTTGAGACGCCTTTTTCACCCACTCCGTCTCGAACCCTTGTTCAAGAATCGAACAACAAGAGATGCTCAATTCCAGCAGCGGGGTCTTCCATAGGAAGTTCGGCAGTGCTTTCAGCTTATTGCAATTCTTGAATTCCAAGTATAAAAGAGATGGCATTATTGTAATTTTAGAATCCTCTTCTTCTACTCCTTCCCATTCTTCCCACTCCAACATGTGTTCAAGTAGGAGTTGTTTCAATTTCGGAAACGACTTTATTAATGTTTGTGGTGTTTCCCCTGTTATTCCCAAAAATTCAACTCCCACCTTTTTCACACTCTTCATCCAAATTATCTCTAAATCTTCAAGGGACTGGAGTTTCCCCAAAGGAGCCAAACCCCCACAAAATGGAACATTTTCGAATGTAAGCCTTTTCAGATTATGACAGTTCATCATCCAACTGGGACACAGGGTGGTACTGTGGTATTCAATGATATCCAACGACTCCAGATTTGTATGCACTTGAAAGGCATTCAGTATTTCTCCATCCTTCTCCGAAGCTACAATTCCACTTCGAACAAGAGAGTCCTGAAAATGTAGACTCAAATGAAGCAGGTTCTTCTTGTTCCCCAACTCTGCATTTTTAGCCTCTCTCCCATCTTTCGCATACTTCAAGTTTTCTATGCAAAGGCTCCCTTGAAGCTCCAAGTTTCCCAAATCCCCTAATTTCAAACTTCCTTCATCATCCCCTCGAAGATACAAGCTATCTAAGATTTGCAGATTTCTTAATCTTCCAATCTCTTTTGGTACTTTTAGATCCATGCACCCCGAAATATAAAGATGCTTTAAGTTAACCAACTTTCTTAAACTCACCGGTAGTTCTACGAGTCCACAGCACAAAATTAGACGCAATGTTTCCAGATTGAATAAATTACCCACAGAATTGGGTAATTCTTCCAATTCCTCATTTTGACTTAAATCGAGATACCGCATATGTACTAGTCCACCAATACTTTCGGGAACTTCTTCGATTGAGTTTTCATTCAACTTTAATGTTCTAATGCTTTTCAATTTTGAAAATGAGTCCGAGGGTAAAGGAAGAATTTTCAAAGTAGAAATTACCAAAGTCCGTAATCCTTTGCAGTTGTAGATTGAAACAGGAAACGAATCATTGTATGTTGACATTATGTTCAAATGACGAACCTTATTATTGACTATCATGTTTTTCTCTTTGCAACTTTCCGCCACCTCCATAATAAAACATTCATTTTTGGTGAGAAACTGTACAAAGTCATGCACAATATCATGCATTTTGCAGCCTATAATATCATCATCGTTATCATCTTTAACAAAATCTTGGAAAAAAGAACGCATCACTAAGTTATCAAAGTAATTTTGGCCTATGATTCTTTCTTTTTCCTTATCACCTTTCATATTAAGATATTCTTGTGACATCCAACACTCAATCAACTGATTTCTTTCAAATTCATAATCTTTTGGAAAAACAGCACAGTATAAAAGACAACGTCTAACTGCTGGACTCAACTCATAATAACTTAGGAATAGTGATCGAAAAACCTGTTGTTCAACTTCTTCTAACTCCCATATCTTATTATCCAAAACATCTACCCATTCTTTTCTGGTTTTCTTATATCGCATGAGACTAGCTAAGGTCTTTGCAGCAAGAGGCAAACCATTGCACTTTTTTACAATTTTTCTCCCAATATCTTCAAGCTGATCATCTCTTTCTCTATTAAAGAATGCAATTTTATTGAATAATTGCAAACAACCTTGATCACTCAAGATGTTCAAATGGATTACGTGATCAACGGTTGCTCCCATCACAGTAGCAACCGTCTCTTTTCGCGTGGTCACCAATACTCTACTGCCTATAGCACTGTTTTGTAAAGCTCCCATTAATGGTTCCCAATTACTAATGGTTGGATTCCACACATCATCTAGAACAAGGAAAAACTTTTTACCACTAATATATTCATTTATACATTCCAACAAAGGTTGCAAACTAGTTGAATTAATTCGATTATCATCTTTATTTAGAGCTTTAGCAATGTCATTGGCAATCTTGATCTCTTCAAAAGGGTCTGATACACAAACCCATATTCTAGCGTCAAAATGAGTTTTTATATTTTCATCATTATAGACTAACTGGGCAAAGGCAGTTTTTCCTAATCCTCCCATCCCCACAATGGGGATCACAACAAATGGGCTCTTCCCTTGTTGACTACTCTCACTTAACAACATGCTCATTAATCTATTTTTCTCCTCTTCACGACCAATTATACTAGACACTTGGACAAAAGAACAAGTTTCAACATGTTCAAGTTTCTCAGTGGCTCTAATTGTGTTCTCATGAAAGTTATAATTTTTTTTTAAAATGGCTATCTCAGTTAACTTTTCATTAATTTCCCTTATTCTCATAGCAATGTCACGACGCATAATTACCTTACCAATTGAACCAAAACAAACGCTGGGGGAAGGAATGAAGAAGCATACCTTTCTTTTTGTAAGGGCAACATTTTTACCTTCTTTCTCTTCTTCTTTCTCAATTTGGTGCTTGAGAATTTCAGTGTTCCACTCATCCAACACGTCGTTTATGTCGTACGACACATCCTCCAGATTCTGCAGCCAGGTTCTGACGCTCTTCTCCTTCACCTGCCTCTCCTCTGCATCCTGGAGCACAGCTTGAATAGCATTGAAATGGAAGATGAGATTTTCAACTTCTCTGTCAACATGCACGACCAGCCTCACCTCTTCTTCTATCTGTTTACGAGTGAGGGAAACCAACTGTTCTAGGACCACGGAAACGAGTGCTTCAGCCATTGAGGTAATGTTGGAGTCAGAAACTGAAAGGTGGTAGAAAAACGAAAGGGACAATATGAAATCCAAATGGCACAGCTGGGAAGTATATGATTCTTGACCAAACAACCAGGAAATATGATCTAAGCAAGCAGCGCTTGAAAGCAAGACTGAAAAATGCTTGGTGAAGTAATAATCCTCACTGCCATGCCAGCTCTGGTTTTTATAACAAATTTCAAGACGGTACCATTATTTTGTTTTTCCTTTTTCTTTTTATTTTACTAATTTGACCGTTTTAACATGTTACTACCAACGGTCCAATTGTTTTTAAAATGTTCCTAATCCAGTTTTCTTCGGTAAAAATTTATTCTCCCAATGTTTTTGATTCTCCAACTTGCAAGTTGTTTATATGTTTTGCGCCCAGTGTTACTCCACGAACGGTCCAATTGTTTTTAAAATGTTCCTAAGAGAATCCAGTTTTCTTCGGTCAGAGTTTATTCTCCCAATGTTTTTGATTCTCCAACTTGCAAGTTGTTTATATGTTTTTGCTCCCAATGTTAATACCAACGGTTCAATAGTTTTTTAAACGTTTAATTTTTGTCTGCTCTAATGCGGTTTTCAACTGAGCTTCTCTCTATCTTCCTGTTTCTCCAACTGAGCTTCACTCGCCCCTTGTTAGATCCGCCACTGCTGCCTGTCTAGCATTATTGTATCAAATAATTTGTACGTATTAGAGGAATGAACAACCAAAAAAAAGAGGAATTATTAGTATGCAAGAAATCATCATGGTCTGTCATTCGGAAAAACAACTTACATTTACGACAAGGAGTTAATATGGCATGCTATGTGAATAATAAATCAAAAAACAAAATATGAAGGATCAAAACATTAATGTGAGGTGTATGTGGCATAGATTGTAATTTAGCATATAGTACCATGATTTCTATTATCTGATATGGCAAAATTTATTTTTAAATTTTGGCATTTCTTGAATGTTTAAAAGTTAGTGGCTGCCAACGGGTCTAGTCCAATGAAAAAGAGAGAATGGACGGAGAGAATTTGTGGAAGTATTTTAATCTTTTGGCCTCAAATCATTATCTCCTCTCCTTGGTTTTTCCCTGATCCTAAACTACACCCTCAATAATGTCGTTTAATAAAGAGGGCCTCTCTTAGGCTTAGTTTGGTATTGCTGTGCTTTTAAAAAAAACTGCTTCTGCTGTGCTGTAAAAATAAACAGCTGTGAAGTGAAGCAGCAAAGTGTTTGGTAATCTAGATTTTTAAAAGTGCTGTGAGTATAAAAAGCAGTGTCATAGTGTTTGGTAAACTTTTTTTATAGAAGTGCTGTGAGAGTGTATAATGACAATAAAGGGCATGATGAAATTTTTTTCAAAACCTAAAAAACCTAAAATTATCATAAGAAATAAAAAATGTATAATTTTTCTCCCTTTTTTTGGGTGAAAACCAAGGTATCCCCCGCGCGATTGCGGGGACTAACCCTCGAGGTACTGTCGGGCTCAAAGCGGGGACCTCTCCCAACAAAGTCTGCTCTATTCGCAAGCGCCTGGGATCGAACCCAGGAATAATTTTTCTCCCTTTTGTTTCTTCCTTCTCATGCCCCATTTCTTCCTTTTTTTTTTTCTTTTTTTTTCTTTTTCCCTCCTCTCCTTTCTCTTTTCCTCTTCCTTCACGGGCCCCAATTTTTTTTCCCTCTCCCTCTTCTCTCCTTTCTCCTTTCTTCTTCCTTCACAGCCAACCCCCCCCCTTTTTTTTTTCATCCAGATCTCTGCAATCCTATCATTGGTTGATAAGAAATCAAATATGCAATAATTGGTTTTACCCCACTGATTCCCCATTCAAACATTTTCTTCCTTCTCTTATGGCTGTTCCATAGCCCTCCCCCACTCCACTCCCTACACACCCAACGGCAGCCCCACATGACTCTCTCTCTCTCTCTCTCTCTCTCTCTCTCTCTCTCTCTCTCTCTCTCTCTCCACCCCACCCAAAATCCTGCCATAACACAGCCACATCCCATACGGTCACGATCCGGGGAGGTCGTCCTCCTTGCACGGTCGTCATCGTCGTCTACAGTCCAAGCTGTGGAGTCTTCGTCGTCTGTCATTGCTATTATCGTCGTCTGCCATCAGTGCTTGTCTGTCATCGTCGTCATCTACAGCCCATGGTCAAAGGTTGTGGTTGTGGTTGGAAATTGGGTGGGGTTTGTTGCAGACGAAGAATAGAAAAGGGAGGTTGTGGTTGTGGTTGGAGCTTGGGTGGGATTTGTTGCAGACGACGAATAGAAAAAGGAATGAAGAAGAAAATGAGAGTCTGCATAATGAGATTCATAGGGTTTGATCGAGAAAAAGATAGGATATAGTGTGTCATTTGTTAAAAGAGATAAGGGCAGTATGGGAAATTTGAAAGTTTCATTTAAGCCTCCGCATGCTTCTCCTGACAGCAGATTTCAGAAGTAGCTCCCCACCTGCTTCTGTTTTTCAGCTTTGAATGACAGTAACTTATTAAATAAGCAGCTTGGATTTGTTTTACCAAACACCCAAATCTCCAAAACTTTTTTTCAAAGCTGCTTATTTTTTAAGTTAAGCAACCCCAAACCAGCCTTTAGTCAGATTATACACTAAAACCAACATAGCAAGCATCAAAATTAAACTTGCCAAATTGGTCATAAAGTTTGAGACAACTGTTTGGCTTTTGGTGCAGCTGGAGATGATTCTTCTTGATAGAGCCTATGCATTTTTCTCCCACACTCACAAGGCCCAAAAGGAAAACATGCCACTCTTGCACAAGGTAAGCTATTTCATGACATTGTTTTGCTTCATTTTATCAATTTAACACACTGTCTCTGTGGTGAATATATCCTAGCTGAAAGGGTGTCCCTATATGATTATGAGCTTATCATTGGAGACGACGTTGTCCGGGACAATGGGAGAAGACTGCTCGCATTTGGAAAGTATGCTGTTAGAGCTGGTTTTATTGACATCTAGCCTTGGTTGGGACAGAGTATGCTCCATTTCCTACATTACCCTTTAACATTTGCTAGTGTTATTGGGTTCTGATTATCAATTTGGTGGTCAAATTATCCCGGCGCGGCTATACTATTTTTCATAATAAAAAAATCATAGTATAGCCCGGCGGATATACCCTTTTATAATATAAAAAAAAACTCGCGTATAGCCGGCCGGCTATACTATTTTCACTTTAAAAAAACCCCAAGTACAGCCGTTCGGCTATACTATTTATAATAAAAAAAAGGACCACCCGCCTGGCGCCTAGCGCCTGCTTCGCTACGTGTTAAAAATAGTACAGCCGAGCGGCTATACTATTTTTTATAATAAAAACTGTAGTACAGCCGCACGGCTATGCTCTTTTCATAAAAAAATTGCCAGTATAGCCGCCGGCTGTGCTATTTATAAAAAAAAGGCCCCACCTGGTGCCTTGCGCCCGTTTCGCCATGTGTCCAAAATAGTATAGCCGCACGGCTGTACTCTTTTTATTAAAAAACACGCGTATAGCCGCCCGGCTATACTATTTTTATAATAAAATAAAGCGACTCATATTATTTGTAGAGAATTTGGTCCCACAATGCTGATTCATATGAAAAAACATGCCTTACCATTTTTATAATGAATAAAAGGATATTTTTTTTAATATCAATAGGGATGAGGAGATTGAAACTTGGTGATCTCTTTCAATATTGAGAAGCAAAGTATTAGTAGACCAACATTTTATAAGGGACAAATACTAAAAGGGAAAAAACAAGAAGCAAAGGGATGGATGATTACATAATAAAAGCATCCGACCCTATTCTTTATTCTTTTATTGCAGGAAAAACACAACAGGTTCACTCTATATATCTAATAGTACGTACGGTAATATTTGCAAACAACAATTACACCATAAAATTTCTTCATGTACAATACAATGCTATTTAGGAACCCACAAAAGAACAAAGCTAGTCCCATGCCCATATACAACCAATTCTGTTCGATTCTATGGCTTCCTCCGTGTTTCTCAATTGCCACATTTCTGCCGCACTTCTCTTTGAGTGGAGGTCCACAAAGCTGTTGGTCAATTTCCAGATAAATAACTGTTGGTTATCCAAATCAGAGACACATGGTTCCAAGATTCTTAAGAAATACTTTTTTGGTTGCAAGGAGGTCCGAATTTCAGCTTGAAGTCTATTTTGAAATTGAGTATATAAAAAGATTTGCCATGTCAGTTTGAGAAGTAACCCAGATACCTGCATTAATTTTTTATTCGAGAGATGATATTTTCTATTTTCTAATTGTAGCCATGTCAAAAAAAATTTAGTTAGTTGTAGCCATTTAGCTCGAGCCCTTTGAACCAACCCAATAAAACTCCTTATATTTTGACAGTTGATATTCCTTTACCAATTGCAAGCGGCTGTTGAACTTTAGTGATCTCCTCTAAAGTAATAGGGATGTGATCAGAGCAACTAAAACGCAGGACATCTAGAAAACAATGAGGAAAAAGATGCACGAGGATGCAAGAGATCTCCTGCATCGATATCTTTGTTGTTTTGTTAGGAACGAATTAGATTTTTTTTTTTAAAATATTTCTTGTAGAAACAAACAACACAATTTCAGCCAAATATGGAAACAAATAAGTAAATACAGATAATGATTCATTCCAGCAAAAGAACAGTATTGTAATTTGTATTGATCTCAATTCTCTCTTTGTGGGTGTAAAACTCACTACAACTCTTTGATATGCACTCACACTTCTTGTCTCACACACACCAACTTAGAGAGCATGCACTAATGCTTCTCATCATCTCTTCACTTGCACACACTCCATCTATTTATAGGAGTTGTTTTAGCTCATCTCAAGAGAGCATAAAACATGCACTAGTGCTTAGGTTGGTAGTGCACTAAAACAAGGTTTAGTGCCTTAAAACAAGGATTAGTGTAGTGCCATAAAACAAGGATTAGTGTAGTGCCATAAAACAAGGCTAAGTGCCTTAATTTGTGTAGTGCCATAAAACAAGGATTAGTGCATAATCATTGTTTTATTACATCTCCCACTCACCCACATAGGGTGTGATGACCTTGTTTTATTACACTGATTATAATGATTTGTAACCTCAGAAGCCTCAGAAATTGGAGTACAGTTAGCACCTAATACGACTTCATCACTGCTCTCTAGTTGCCTTAGAATCTTGGTAGGGGATTGTAGTACTAGAGCATGACCACCGACACCATCATTCTCTGATAACTTCCTCTTTCTGTCATTCTTCCGAAATCGACAGAGCACGTATTTACCATCACCCCCACAAGTATTTGAATTTGACAGGGGCTTCACCAATGAAGGGTGCAGGCTGTACTCGTGCATAATCCAGCAGCCATGTTGATCAGATTTATCATTCTCATAACGAAACCTTTTACACAGACCTAAAGGCGTATTCTTTTTAGCAGGATCACGGACCGTGGTCCCTCTGTCCTCACCTTTCCAGGTTCCATTCCCTATTGTTCGAGCCACGCGGGAACCCTTGCCGGTCACTAACTTCAATTTGGTGAAGAAGTAGAGGTCTTCACCCTTTTCTAAGTTTTGTCCACCGAAATCATTCCATATATCCCATGGCTCTTTCTTACCATAAAGATTGAATTCTGACACAACGTTGCTATACTTAAATGGTGTGCCAGAAACCTTGTTAAGAAGATAATACCTCAATAACTCATCATCGCTTGGACGAAACTTAAATCCAATTGGAACATCAACATACTCACAAGGTGCCATATATAAGTATGTGTAGTTTCCTCTTGGACTTTGCTGAGAAGAGAAGGCTAAAGATGAAATATTTCTTGGTTTCTTGGAAAGGAAAGAAAAGGAGTACGTAGGCTGGTTATGGTTTCTCTGGGACTTTGAGTAGCAGTGATAATGGATTCTCCAATGAGTTTCTTGGAGTGATGTGGGCTAGGGTTTTGTGATTTCTGTGTGAATGAGTTCCTTCCTTCCCTTCCAATATATATAGGACTATTAGCAGGTCCAGTCCTGGCCCAGGTCGAATAGGGCAACGGCAATTTAAAAAAAAACGAATAAATTTACTTTTTTTTTTAACCTTTTGTGGATAAAATCCCTAATAATCCGTCTCCCACTTTTCATGGCTTTGATAATTATCAGCTATTTGTAATATGATAAGGTTATAACTATACTTTCGGGTTAAGTTGTAACAACTTTGTAAGTTACTTGTGCCCCAAGCATTTTCATTCAGGCAGAAACTTGAAGTAGTTTCTTTATGTATGATGTTCTATATATTCCCACTCCCAAATCGAATCCTATTTTCTCACCCCACCCGCCACCAAACTTTTTAAGAACACTCCCTGTATCATTTCATGATTGTCCCTTCACCTTCTTCTTCTTCCACTTCAACCCTAAAAATAAAACCAAAGGACAGAAGGCTGGTGGATGCAAGAGTAAATCCAGTCCCCTTCTATTGATTCTTGTATGGCTTGTCTTCGGATTGATTCGGGTTCGGGGACATGGAATTTCGTAGCATTCGGAGACACTAAATGGTCATTTGTGATAGATTTGGCAGTCTTCAATTATCAATTTGTCAATAAATTCAATCCTAATGATAACTGACACTGCTTCTTGTTATGAAACCAACAAATTTCTTAACAAAGCTAACTACGTACACTCAAAGTTGAATCTGTCGAGGCTTGGATCTATTTAATAGGTTTGATCTTCTGATGATATCCCAAATCCAATATTAATATTGCCCGAGTCTTCATCAACTGCAGACTCCTGGATTATGCATGAATATGGATGCGATCCTCCTCCCAATGGTTGTGCTGTAAGTGGTTGGATGTTATCCTTTCTCTGGATGAACCTATAACTTATTACTAGTCCACATACTCAACGACTTTGTCCACCATTTGAAAATGATTTTGAAAAAAATATTGAGTATGGACCTTCACTCTCAGTTCTAATGTAGTAGTATGCGTATGTATCGCACCATTCTAAATGAGTTATATTGCAAACATTACCATTAGCTTATGCAATGGAAATTTGGGTGTCCCTTGTAAACAAAATGAGAGACAATCACTTCTAATGTTCAAGAAAGATCTTAAGGATCCCTCAAATAGGCTTTTATCTTGGGTTGGTGAGGGAGATTGTTGCAATTGGACTGGAGCTGTCTGTGACAATTTAATAGTAATGGATAATGCTTTAAACTACCCTTATCGATAAACAAAAATCAGGGACAATAGATACTTGGATAATGAAAATTTTGTACAAAACAAGTGTATTAAAGATGAAAAATACTTTCGTACATGTACAATACGAGTATTAAACGTGAAAATATTGAATTCTTTATATGAGTAATAGCTCTGGAAAAGCAAAAACTGACAATAGAGACTCGGATAATGGCCAAATAGTAATGGATAATGCTCTAAACTACCCTTATTGATAAACAAAAATCAGGAAAAATAAATTTTTTTTTAAAGATCACAGTGTCTTGTGTAAAGTGTATAGCCGATTGGCTATAATCTTTCTAAAAAAAATATCCCGAGTATAGCCACACGGCTATACCATTTTTTTTTTTTTTTTAAAAGGGCCTGCTTGGCACAGCACGTCAAAAACACTATGCCGCGCGGCTATACTATTTTTATTTATAAAAACCTCCAGGTATCGCCGGGCGGCTATACTATTGGATCACGGGCCTGGTGCTGCTTGTGTCAAAATAGTATCGCCGCGCGGCTATACTATTTTTTATAATAAAAACCGTAGTATAGCCGATCGGCTGTACTCTTTTATAAAAAAAAATACCGCGAGTATCGCCGCGCGGCTATACTACTTTTTTATAAAAACCGTAATATAGCCGCGCGGCTATACTACTTTTTTAATAAAAAATACCACGAGTATAGCCGCTCGGCTATACTATTTATAAAAAAGAGGAACTTACCTGGCACCTAGTGCCCGCGTCGTCACGTGTCAAAAACAGTATGGCCGCGCTGCAACAAGCTTTGTGGTGCTCCACATGAAGAGAAATGCAGTGCAATACCACAAGTAGGTGACCAGAAGAAACACAGAGGAACTGATTTACTTGAAGACGGTTGGTTCTATCTGAGCTTGGGACTAGGATTTTTGTTCGGCTTTTGGAGTGTTGTTGGTTCCTTGCTGTTCAACATTCCATGGAGCAATACCTTTTGTGCAGTCCAAAACAGCATGCTGCAAAAGTTTTATAGGGTGTAGTTGTTGTACAATTTTGAAGATTAAAGTTATAAGATTTTAAAGCATTTTCTTTTTTTACTGGCTACGGCGGGTACCCCATCTGTGTTGTGTATATATATTTTTGTTTTGCCCCCTTATAATCAAAATTGTTAGTGTGCTCCTTCTTGTCTCATCCCTAGTTATTTGAAACATATATGGCATAAAAAACAATATTTAGATATTTTAAAAACACTGAAAAGATTGGTCTCCTTATTATATTCTAGGATCCTACCATATTTGAAAGTAGCTTTCGGAGCAATCTTAATCTCTTGAAGAGCATTTGGATGATGAAATTTGGTACTCTGTAGAAAGGACGCCAGATACGAATACGCTCGTATATGCTCTGTGTAGTCATAGGTATTTTGATTATTCGTTGTACATCTTATAATACTTTTTTGAATAAAGTGGTCTTTTAAAAATAAAAAATAAAAAGTTGTATGCTCTGTGTACCATCCCTTTGTTTAGAACTCCATTGTTTTAACAAGAATTTTATATCTCCACAATTGTCAATTATAGTGTTTAGTATCAAAGTGAGAAGGAAATGTGATGAGAGCAACAAAAAGCAGGACATCCAGAAAACAATGAGGAAAAAGATGCTGGTGATCTCCTAAGTTGTCAATTCGTCCATTTCTTGTAGACACAAACAACACAATTTTCAACCAAATACGGAAACAAATAAGCAAAGACAAGATACATGCAGCAAAAATCACAGTATTGTATTGATCTCACAAATGGCAGGGGAGGATGAGGGAGAGAGAGAGAGAGAGAAAGTGAAAGAAGCGGCAGGGGAGGATGAGGCGGAGTCGGAGCAGAAGATGTTCGATTATCGCTAGTTTCTGCCCATCTATCACTCACTGCCCTCCAAACTCCCATTCATAAACACACTCACGCACCAACCCAGGAAGAAGAAAAAGAACAGAGAAGAAGAAGAAGAAGGGGAAGGAGCCAGGCTCTGGATGCGATTTGACCGCTTTGGCGGATCAGAGCTCGTCGAGTGTGACAAGAATGCTATCATTCAGAGCGCTGCCATTCCCGCCCGAGACCTGAGGATTCTTGGCCCTGTCTTCTCCCATTCCTCCAGCATCCTTGGTACTTCTCCAGTTTATTTCTATTGAATCAATTAAGTTGTTTGTTTTGTTAATTGTGTTCATTTGTGTTCTGGGTTTTCGAAATTTTATGAATTTATGCTACATTAGGTGTCTTTTAGGAGATTGAGATTCTGGGTTCAGAGTGCAATTTGTATTAGTTGGTTTTCCTTGTCCTGTTTTCGTTTGGGTCATCCACCATTAACTTGGTTGAGGAGTTGTAGTTTTAGGGTGTTGCCAGGAATCCTTTGTGCAAGCGGTTAGTTAAAGTTACCGCTTAGGACCTTCGGATTGTTGGGCTACATGTACACCATGATCATGAGAAAAGTTATAGCTCCTGATAATTATTTTTCCTCATTTCAATTGCAGCTAGGGAGAAGGCCATGGTGGTTAATTTAGAGTTTATAAAGGCTATAGTTACAGCTGAAGAGGTTCTGTTGCTTGATCCTCTTAGGCAGGAGGTTCTTCCATTTGCGGATCAGCTAAGGCAACAGCTTCCTCGGAAAAGCCAATTCCAGGATTGAAGAAGCAAGTCCACTTGATGAACAAGATAATGGAATGGATGTTTCAACAGGAAGGCAACGGTTACCTGTTCCAGAGGCCGCTGAAGGTTTGCAGTGTCATCTCCATTTGAGTTTCAGGTTCTAGAGATTGCATTAGAAGTTGTCTGTACATTCTTGGATTCAAGTGTGGCAGACCTTGAGAGAGAAGCTTACCCTGTGTTGGATGAACTTGCCAGAAATGTTAGCACTACGAAATTTTCTAAGGCTATTGGCTTTAAAAAAGAAAATATCCCGAGTATAGCCGGGCGGCTATACTCTTTTTAAAAACACCAAATATAGCCAGGCGGCTATACTATTTTTCTTTTTAAACCGCGCGGCTATACTTTTTTATTTTTAAAAAAACCCGAGTATAGCCGAGCGGCTATAAGATTTTTATTTTAAAAATACCCCGAGTATAGCCGCGCGGCTGTACGATTTATAATTTAAAAAGGACCACCGCCTGTGCCTAGGGCCCGCTTCAGAGAGTATAGCCGACCGGCTATACTATTTTATTTTTAAAAATCCCCGAGTATAGCGGAGTATAGCCGATTGGCTATACAATTTTCAAACGTATAGCCGCGCGGCTGTACCATTTTCTTATATGCAGTGATTTCTGCAGTAATTTCTGCGGATGAAGAGATAGAAAGTCTTGGACTGCCATCAGAAATCTGCCCTCTGGTCTTTGTCATCACAGGTTCAGGAAAGGCTGTCTCACTTGTTTTACCAATTTGATTACATATTTATTTTGAAAATGTTTTTCAAGTCCTTATGAGAGCACAAGTTTTAGTAAGTGATGTTTTTTAATCATAAATGACTAACTTCTACTATCAAGAATCAAGATTGATCTGATCTAAAATAACTTTCTTTCCTGTAGCTTCTTCTGGTGCACAAGAGATAC